TGTCCAGCCCAAAACTACTACTCGCTGTAAACATATGGTGCATGGAAGTGTCCAATTTTTTTCCAAAAGGAGATTCTGGTGTTGTCACCAATTGTGACATTTACCACAGGTACAGGGTTTGCAGGCTGCCTTAAGGGAATTGATTTTGGGCATTGATGGGCAAGTGGATCCCTGGAAATATAGGTTTCTTACTGGAGAGGAGAGTTGTAGGTCTTTTTCCAGCACATCTGAACTGTGTGCATCAGTTAAGGTCTGCAGGTTGTATTAGCCTGTATATGTTTTCAGTTCTTATTTATTTCTTCACCTCACTAAAATCATAATTTTTTTCTTTTTATGTGGCATCTGAATCTTTGGTCTTGCAAGAACATGGAGATCTGTTATTGTGGTGTTTGCTTTGGATCACAGAGTGAAGCTGGAAAGTAGCAGGAGGTTGGTGCTGAAGAGCTTCATTCTGCTGAGCCACCAGCACATTCACAGCAGGGTTGTTATTATTTAGTAGAACGTGTTTGGTCATTAGATGGTCTCCTTTTGGCCCTCTCTGAAAGAGGCAGCTGGGGAAGCTGTACCCTTAGCTCCATTTCCCCACACCCAGAAATCAGATTACAGATGACTAAAACCTTTGGGCAGTTCTGTGCGAGGCAGGCAGGGACAAGCAGTGCAGGCCAAGCCACAGTTCCCACCGCAAAGAAAACAAAAACACAGGTGCTGGAGGGGCTGCGGCCACGCAGATGAGCTGTGTGTACAGAACAGGCTTTGCACGGAAGGGGAACACGGTTCTTGTTCCTTGGCTGTTGTTCGCTCAGGGCGCGCTTCATTCCAACTTGCCTCCAGGCAGAGTTCTTACAGGTCCTGCAGCAGAGCTTCTCTGTGGTGAGAGAAACGTGTGATCCCGGGGCCTGAGATAAGAAATGCTGCTGCAGGGCCCCTCCAGGGGAAGGCTGCTGCTGGCCACCTGAGCAAACACCCAGTCCAGCTGGAAAAGGCAGCACGGGGGATACAGGGAATGGCTGTGCACAAGGGGGTTTGCTCGAGGCTTCCCACCTCGGCCTGCCTCGTGCCTGTGTGCACCTCTGGGGCCATGGGCATGAGCATGACAAGGAGCACCTGCCTCCTTGGTTCCAGTCATGGGAGAGCCAGTGCGGGGTGTTTAGGTCTGTGGAGCATGGTTCCGAGCATTGCTGGATGGGTGCCATGGTTCTGAGCAGTGCTGGATGGATGGCATGGTTCCAGGCAGTGCTGGATCAGTGCCGTGGTTCCAGGCAGTGCTGGATCGGTCCCATAGTTCCAGGCATTGCTGGATCGGTGCCGTGGTTCCAGGCATTGCTGGATCAGTCCCGTGGTTCCAGGCAGTGCTGGATCGGTGCCATGGTTCCAGGCAGTGCTGGATGAGGAGCTGCTTAGATACCTGGTGTACCTGGAATGTGTGTGTGTCAGGGATGCAAGGAAGGGTTATGGACCAGAGTTCGGTGGTCCTGCAGAGCAGATGACCCCAGGGAGATGAGACAAGGTCCCTGGATGCAGGACAGCACACCTGAGCCAGGGTTTGGGGTCTGGTAACAGCAGGGGTGGCCTTGTGGGGCTGGGAATGCACGGCCGGGCAGAGCTGGTACCACTGCCCCAAAGAGTTGGTGTCAGGAGCCCTGCCATGGCAGAGCACACAGAAGCCCTTCTGAGACAGCCAAACAGATGTGCGGAGGGCTGGTGGGGCGGAGCTGCAGTGGGGAATTCTCCAGATGACAGCCAGGAGAGCTGGATGCAGGAGCCACGGCAGCAGAGATTGCTGTGCCTAGTGAGCTCTGCAGCAGCTGAGAGCCAGGCAAATAGCAGCACGAGTGTGGGGTTAGCCTTCACATGCTGAACAGATTTTACTAATATCACTTTGTTATGCAAATATGTAATTATTTCATTTCCTCTAGAAGGAGTATTTGTGGTTTCCTGTTCCTCAGGACTTCCGAGTGCATGTGTAAAGGGAACAAATAGCCACAGAGTTACTGGGTTGTGCACTCTGGGGCAAGCTCTGAGAAAGTGATAAACCTTGAAGCTTTGGTGGAGGTTTGAAATAGCACTTTTGAAGGGGCTGCTGGAGGGTGGTGAGGCTGGCCCTGACAGTGGCACAGGACTTGCTCACCATTTAAATAAACTTAATTTGGATTGAAGCCTGCTCTCTGCCAGGGGCTAAGGAATGAAGAGACCAGGTTGCTGCACAGGCTGGAGACTGTGGTGATGAGGATGGAGCTGCTCAGGCCCAATAGGGCTTGGAGTTGTGCTGGCTGTAGCTGGAGGGCAGGATATGTCTGGATAACTGGTTTGCAGCACTTGTGTGGAAGAAGCAGAAAAGGAATAGCAGAGAGGCACAGAAGCACTGTTCTCTTGGAGGTCAGGTGTGAAAGTTTGTCAGCTGTGGAGAGGAGTTCCTGGATTGGTTTGGTTTGGATGGTGCACTCACAAGGCTCTGGCATTTAAAAATCTTATGGAGTGGGGGATATTCCTAAACTTTGCAAGCTGCAGAACTCTGTGTAATGAGTGTTTTGATATGTCACAGGGACAGCCCATAAAGTGAGGAATTTCTGAAACCCTGTGTGTGCCTGCAGCAGCTGTTTGAAAAGGGGGATTCAGAGAAGGCTCCTAATGCCCTGAGAAGTCACTTTTTCCTTTCTGTTTCACATGCAGTGTCCTCTTTCTCTCTCCTTGCTGGCTGTAACAGGCTTGTATAGGGCTAACTTTCTATTTTAGACACTTAGCTGCAGTCAAGTGCTGGGGTAAGGTTCTGGGAACCAAATTTGGGGTTAATTTTATATAAGCAGGGCTTTCTGCTAACACTCAAAGGATTTTAAATAAAAGCTCAGCCACAGGGTGCTTGAGCTTCCATGTTGAACTAAAAGTAGTTCTTGTCTAATCCCCTTTTGCTTGAGAATGGTGTATAACAGGGTACACAGTGTCTCTACGGGTTTATTTGATTTTTTTCAACTCAGGTAATTCTTGATTTACAGTGATCTGATCTCAAGAGTCAGGAAGTTGCTCAGAGGATATGTTGGAGATGTGCAAAAGATGACATCTTCCAGCAAATGGCTTGGTGCTGTAGGTGTATTACAGGATTCAGTTATGCCAGTTTTTATTTAGAGATTTGTGGTGTGTTGTTGCTTGGGGATTTTTATTTTATGTTGCTTCTTCCAACAGTAGGAAAAAACTGAAATCCTGTCCTGAAAATTATCCTGAAATGGTGATTTCCAGTTGCATAGAGATACTTCGTTGGGACTGACAGCTCTGCTGTGGATATAAGCCAGGGACTGCTGCTTGCGCTGAATTTTTTAGCCATCAGTTTAAATAATTTTGTTTTCTTTCTGCACAGATCCTCATTGGTTTTATTACTTGTGTCCAAAAAAAAGCAATTACACCTTAATGTTTTCATTATGAACTTATTAATTATGTTTACTTGTATTGTTAGCTTTTATATTGCATTTACTGTGTATTTCTTATCTAGTGAGAAGTAGAGGTAATGGTACTACTTGCATGGATAGTGACATGGTGTATTTCCACATCTATGGATAGGATTTGGAGATGCATGTGGCAGCTTTGGTGCCTCAGCACTGTTAGAGGATGAGTCATTGCCAGGGGTTGTATCTGAGCCTTCAAATGTGGGAGCATATAAAAATCACTACTGTGCTGTTGAGAATCTTCACTTTCCTCCCTGCCTGCTGGTGGGCACTCGCCTCTTGTAGTTACAGATGGGCTTGTACAGTGCATAACAGTGCTTGCTACCCATCCTAATGCCAGTGTAATTTGAGAGGCAGTACATAAAGTGTCACAGTGTTCTATTTGGGGCTGAATAATGATACGCTTGCTGTAGCCCGTGGAAAAGCCGAATGCCCCGTGCTGAAAATGCCATGTGCTAAGCTCAGTGTGCTGGTCTGTAGGCCAATCTTATTATCTCCCCTCTTCAGCTTAGAAACCAAGCTGATCTTAGGAACCAACACGTTTATAAACTGTGACACTACACTGAGGCTCCTCTTCCACCTCCCGTGTGTTCCCTGCCCGAGGTACAGATGAGGCACCCCTTTATTCCAAAGCAGATTTGGTAAGGCACAGCATCGTATGTGCTGGGCTGTTGTGTGAGGCTGTGGCACTGCCAAGGGCAGGTGAGGCGTTTCTGTCCTCTGGTGCTGAAAGACAGCAAATGCGGGAGGCCCATGGGATTGTCTCAGCCGAGCAATGAACACCTTGCCGTGCCCTGCTGTAGTGAAGGATTTCTCTAGGTGCACGTCTGCTCCCATGGGCTCCAGGTGCTGAGGGCACCTCTGCCAGTCCCGGCCGGGCTGGGGAAGCCGAGGGTCACTCAGCGTGGCTGGTACTCAGGAGGGGCAGGCGGAAGCCCAGCACAACCCGGTGAGCATCGCTGCCACCTGCCCGCGGTGGAATGTGCTCCGCTCCCAGCCAAGCCTTCAGACGTTCCAGGGGAGAAGCGTGAGTGCGCTACTACTCCTGATTTTTTATCCCCCCCTTTTTTAATGCGATCGCGTTATTGTACGACCTTTGGGAGGGGCTGGGTGGAGGCGGGCAGAGAACCGTCCTCCGCCTGGATCGCCGTCCGCCCAGGGGGATGGAGTTTCCAGAGCATCCCCTCCCTCCCTCCGTCCGTCCGTCCCGTCCCGTGGCTGCGCTCCCCTGGGGTGGCGGCTCCCCGCACTTGGCCCCGCCGCAGCGAGGCCGGGCGGGGCGATCGCCGCGCTTCTCCCGCGGGGCTGCACCGAGTGCCGGCCGTGCCGGGAGCAGCAGCACCGCCGCCTCTGCCCCGACAGCAACCTGCACGGCCGGGAATAAAAAATTAAACCCTCGCTCCCCGCCGCCAAGGGAGGGCGGTCCACACCGCGGAGCTTTCCTCCGCCCCGCTTTTTTGTCGGCTTTTTCCCCGTTTTCCCCTTTTTTCCTTCTCCGGGAGGAGAACGCCCCGAGCGCGCTTTCCGCGCAGACCCGGGTTCGCCCGGCCGCGCCGAGGGGGCGGGATGGCGTGGTCGGCCCGCTGGGTGCTGTGCCTGTGCCTGGGATGGGGCTGCCTGTGCCTGGCTCTGGGCGACGCGCCGCGGCCGCGCCGGCTCGGGCTGCGGCGCCGCTCCGCTCCGGGAGCCGTGCGGGCCGGCCGCGCCCGGGCCGCCGCAGGTGAGGACGGCGCGGGGCAGCGGCGGCCCGGGCGGCCGGCGGCGGCCGACAGAGTGGCGGAGCACATGCTGCGGCTCTACGAGCAGTACCGTGACCCGCCGACACCGGCCGGGCCGTGGCTCCGCCGGGGAAACACGGTGCGCGGCTTCCGCCCGCTGCCCGCAGGTGAGCGCGCTCCGCGGCCGGGGAAAGAGGGCAGCACCGCGGGGTCAGAGCATCGCTGGGGTGGGGCCCGGAGAGCGCGGTGAATGGGAGAAATAAGAGAATTGGAGGAGTATCCCTTCCGGCAGGGACTGTCGTGCATTAGGTTATGTCCTGTACTTTATTGCCCTGCTACTTCTGCTCTGCATCGAGCATCACTGTCATCAGGATAGCTGAGTACAGTGCGAGGGAGGTGGAGTAATTAGCGGATCTTCTCCTGAGTCCCCCGTGTGTTAGTGGTGTTCTGCACCTGTAACTTCTGTTGGAGCCAAGGGCTGAGCTGCGCCTGACAGAGACGTGCCATGGCTTGGGGTTCACTGACAATGAGATGCAGCGGCAGATGAGGTCAGTTGAAACATGACTTAGGTGTCATAAATACTTCATCTTGGCATCTTTGGAAGGGTCGCTTACATCTCTCCGTGATTACACACTGGCATGCACAGGTAGATGGGTGAAAATGTAAAAACATTTTCTGTAAGGGAGGAGGATGTGTTTAACATGCCAGCATCTCAAAAGAACCATGTCCCAGCAGGAAGAGAAAAGTCACTGTTTTGGTGCTAACCCTAACCCTTCCCTCTTGTGGTTTTTGTGCATGTGAGCTCCACAAGAGCTAAATGGAATGGCCAGAAGCCAAAGATGAGCATTGCTGGGATGTCCTTCCCTTACCTGCTGCACTCCAAAACCTTGCTGCATGTGGGACAGCTGTAAGGGCACACACACAGTAGCCCCATTTGCCAGTCTCTTGCTTTTCTTTACACCAGTGCACTGACCCAGTGGCTTTTTCTTAGAGAAGCATCAGTGAAAGTGAGAGCTGTCTGAGGTTCAGTGACTTGCTTCAGGTCCTTCCTGTCCTAGGAAAGAGAGCCGTGGGTGGCAGGCTCCCTTGCTTCTTCAAAAGCAACAATGTCTTTTATAAGGCAGCTCTGAGCAGAGATCAAATACAATGAGGAATGAGTGGCTTTGGTGTCTTAGGTTTCAACCCTGCAAGTATCTCTGTCCACAGGAGAGGCTTTAGAGGAGTACTTGCCCTGGGTTTGGAGCATTGAGAGCCAGGACTCTGCCCAGCTGCTGCTCTTGCTGAAGAACTCTCTTGCCTTTCTAACGTGGCTTGTTTGCTTCGTGAAGTCTCATGTCCCTGGCTCTCACTGACTTAAGCCTACCAAGAGAGGGGAGGATGTAATATTCACTACAGCCCCCTCCCAAAAAAAGGAGAGGTTGTTAATGACCCTAGCAGAGCAATATTTGCTCTGTTACAGATATCTGATAAATGCCATTTATTGTTCTAAACCTAGAATGTTGTTGGTTGAAATCCCATCTCTGTGGTCTTTCTGATTATATTAGTACTCTCACTTGATGTTGAGTGGCAGCAGTCCTATAAACACACTGCTTGCTAATCCCTTTCCTCCTCTTCCAATACTTTCACAGATCGAGTGCCAAAGCAATAAATTGGTTTTAAGCATTGTTGACACTTTATTAACTATTTATGCAAAATATTTAACCAGTTAGCTGTTGTCTTTCTCTTGCCGTTGGCAGCAGCAGCTTATTTTGTGTGGTTATTGATGGCAGAAAATCTGTTTCCAGAAAGCCCTTATATTTGATGTTCCTCAGGGTGGTGGGTGCAATGGAAAGGCTTTTTCTGTCTTCTTCCTTGCGCCCAACTGCCTGACAAGGCCTGCCATGAACATGGCACATCCAGCAGTATTCCCCTTTACTTTGTCTCTAGATCCTCTGCTTTCACTGTTGCACTCCTTGGCTCCAAATTTCAGTCTCCCACAGGCTTCCCCTTGTCCTTAATGAGATGCATCAGTTAATTTGTGATGTTGCTATTGCTCCTTCTCATTTTACCAGTCCCTCTGCCAGCCCCTTCAGGACTCAGCTTTTTGTCTGCTGGGAGCAGAAGTTCCCCCAGAATTGTCCCATGTGTCCTCCATCTACAGCAAGAGGTCTTGAAGCAAATTTTCAGTGGTTTCATTTGCAGTTTAGCCTTGCAATTTAGTCTGACATTTTCAGGAGATAAACTCTTCCTTTTCTGAAGCACAAATTTTCTAAGCTCTCAAGTGTAGCTGTGGAACCTTTCTGTCCTTGCTTTTCCTCTGGAGGGGCTTCTGCTTCTTCTGCAGCACATGGGAAAGGCCCTTCCCCAATCTCCCAGACAGATTTTGGAGGCTCTGGAGTGTTGTGTGGTGAGACCAAAAGCTCGTAGGATTTGTTGAAGTTCGTCCCTGTTTCTAGTCAGAGAACAGAGGTGTCACAGGTGGCAGCTGTGGCCCTGTAACCAACAGGCAACAAAACCCAGCTAAGACTGATTGATCAAAACAAGCATCCTCATTCCTGGTAAAAGCAAGTTTCCCTTTCTGTGGCTCAGTTCTCTGAGGGGATGGGACCAGAGCTTCAGCCTTGTGTGGCACCTCTTTGGAGCCTCCTGCCCTGAAATCTCTCATGCACCAGACTTCACAACCAGGCTGGGCTGTTGCTTGTTTGGGCTGGGGCTTTTGGCCATTGATTTTGATGAATGTTCATGTGATCATTCAGGCAAATTTGTTTCCTGTTAATCTTGCTAAATTACCTGGGTGCATAATTGTACAGTTTGAACAGCCCAGGAAAGGGAACCTGTGGCTGTGACAAAGCTGAAAAGAAATCCCAGGCCTGAAATCCATGAGGAGTGCAGTGATATGTATATATATATATATATAACACATATATATGTGTTCAGTTACACTTCAGTACTGTTCTCTTTTATGGACTTAACTGCTCTAATTTGTTTCTCTGTATTTGAGTCGAGGGATGTTCAGCCTGTGATTTCTGCAGCAGCTCTTCTCGCTGTTGCAGGACATTTTCTGGGACAGCTCTGGTAGTCCTTGTTTTGCTTTGGACAGGCCTTTTCCAGTTCTTTACCTGTGGATGCCACAGGAGTGAGTGGTTTTCCATCCGTTGTCACTCTAAAAGACATATAGCAAGATCATGAGCCACAGTGGAGCACTGGGGCACTTCTGGCAAGGGAACTCTGGAGATGTGGTCCTGCAGGGGTGTCTGTACACGACTGGTCTCTCCTCCTGGAAGAGACCTGAGCAGAAATGTGCTTACTCTCAGCACTGCCTCTGGAGGTGTGCTGGTGGCTGCCCAGGCTCAGGAGTTGAAGGTCACATACCACACGAAGAGAGCGGAAAGATAAAAGCCTCAAATGCAGATAAAGCTTGCTTCTGAAAGCATTTTTAATCCTAGCATCACTTAAGGAACATGGCTTGCAAATGAGTCCTGACTTTGTTTGGAAGGTCCTCCTAATGGTGTTATAGTAAAGCTATACAGTCAGAAATTACTTTAAACTCTTTTTTAATGACTGAAGTTCAAGTAATTTCAGGTATTACACCTTCCCCTAGGCCAATTCTTGTGGTTTTAGAGATATGTTCTCCTCCCTTTCCAAAGGCTTTTCTTTCCTTTGCTGTGGTGCAAAGTGCCCACGCAAATGGGGAAGCGGAGCTCACCAGCTGCCATCAGCCTGCAGAAACCAGTCCAGGCCAAATGCTGGCCCCTCTGAGCACCAGAGTATCAGGGGCTCTTTGCAATAAGAGCTTTACAAATATCCAGTCAGAAGACTTGTGTTTTTTCCTTCTGTGTGTTTCTTCAGTTTTGGGGTTTGCTGGGTTTTTTTGCTGCACTCATGTAAATACAATGCAAGCAGTAGCATCCTGGTATTTTTCAGGAACTTAACAAACATTAAGCTAAGATTTGGGCAGATGGGCCCAAATCTGCAAGCCTCAGAGGCAAATGGGCAGGATCTGTAGGTTGGGCCTCTCAGGACAGAATTTTCTGGCTTCTGTCACTGTGTGTCTCACAGTGGCGCCATGCGTGTGAGCGACCTGTGTTCACAGTTCCCTGCTAGTCCCTGTTTCTAGAACACATTGCTTCAGCCAGAGGAGCTGTGGCATCAGAGCACAGGCTGTGCACAAGTTGCTTTTCACCCCAGCAGCCCAAGTGCAATGAGTCATGGCTGTGAGGATTCTGCCCGTATTTGTGTCTGCTGTGGATGTATCCCCTTAGCCTGCTTGGCTTGTGCCAGCTTCGAGCTAGATGTTGTGTTTAGTCTTCACACCTGCTGTGGTCCTCCTGCTTAAAATATAGAGAGAAGAGATCAAGTGGCCACTGTGCAGCACACTTAGGCTGTGCAACATGCAGATTTGTGGGTTTCGTACCATGAAACTCTCATGTAAGTTAGGTCCTGGGTATGCAGCTTTGCTGTTTCTACACAAGTTGTTTATTTGAGCAGCTGATAGCTTTAGTCTGTGGTGAACTTGCTGCTGTTTTATATCAAGTTGCTAGCTGCTGTGATGTTACCTGTTTTGCTAAAAGAATTAGTAAAACCAGTTTGGCACCCGGTCCTATGCTCTTTCAAAAGGGAGAACTGCATCCCATCTTTTCCTTTTGCACAGAACACAAATTGGTAACTAGGAAGCAGCAGCCAAGTAAGAGGAAGATGGGAGAAAAGAGAAAATCTGGTTTCCAAATCTGTTTTTGTTGAGGAACTTGTTCCTGTTTCCAGCTCCTAGTGAACTTTTGTATATGGGCTGTGAAGTGATGAGAACAGGATTTTGCACCGGAAACGCCAGTCCATTCTTAACCAGGCCCTGGCACAAGGGCACCTCTTTAATACCTCCTTTAAATGATGGCTAATGGTGACTGTATAACTAAATAGTCCTCGTTATTGCATCCTTTTTCACCCGTGGGATAGATTTGGCAGTCCATAAAAATGTCAGGGCATCCTCTATAAAGGTAAACACAGCACATGTTAGCAGATTCATTCCAGCTTATTGATGCCTGAAATCCCCCTTGTGACAGGAATCTGCCTGTGCCAGCGACCTCGGTCTTGACAGACCTACTGCACTTCCTTAAAAACACGTTTTTAATGCCGGTCACAGGCCCTCCTTACAGCTGTGAGTTGGTGTGGGGAGGTGAGGAAGTGTGAACCATGCCCCTAAGACCCAGCAGGTACAAGTACTTCAGCTGCTGTGCCAGGAGCTGGGTTCGAGTAAACAGTCTGGAATGGTTTCCAGCAGAGCAAAAACAGTGTCTCGTTTCAATGAAATGAAATTTTCCTGAGCAAAAGATGCTTTTGTAGTTATTTTAAAGCTTCCTTGACGTGCCTGTAATTTTTAAGGGTAATTTCTAGCCCGGGGAACACTTATTTCAGTGCAATGCTTACACCTGGGAGTCAGGTATTGGTGTCATACAAGTGGTGTGCTGGACCCGGTGCTCCCAAATTTTGATGGAACCCCAAGTTATGCAGTTGGGTTTCTCGAGACAGAATCTGGTGGATCCACAGATGTCTGTGCTGCCCACTAGTAACTGTTGTTGAGGTGATTTTGCCGATGAAAGATGGGAGAATTCAGAGCTGCTGAAGCTTGGAGGTGGTTGTGTAGGAAAATAGCACCATCTACTGCAAGTGCTTTGTCTTGGCATAGAGCTGCAGGCTGGAATTTAGCTTTTAACCAAAACTATAGACTCCCTCTGCATCTGCCCCATGCTGTCCAGAATTTCTTGATGAACAAAAGGAGCTTCCTTTGTCTCCCAATACAATATGCCAGTTTAGAAAAGGCAGGATTTTTTAAGTGGCATTGGTAATAAAAATTGAGATCAAAACTTGCCCTTCAGCATGCAGCAGTGATGCAAATAATAACTTCTTAAACAGGTGCCCATGAGACACCATGAATTCTCGCTCCTGAGACTGATCTACTCAGTGCCCTGCCAAAGTGTGTATTAACCTTATTACATCCCAAATGTAATGTCTGTAATAACCTTATTACATCAGTGGTTACAAACCAAGCAGAGATCAGGTCCTCATGTATGCCTGGTACAAGCATAATCAAGGGCTGGTTTTGGCTTGAGGAATAAAAAGTAGGCTGGAATTCCAGGTAAATCTAGTTCCCTGGGCATCTGTTATAGTGGTATGTGACTTTTTAGTAAGTTACCTGTGTGCTCTGCTGCCAGATGAGACTGAACGTGTAAACAAAGATGATTCCTTAGGTTATTCGGCCTTTTCACTCTTTTGGCCCTGTTCTACTGAAGAAAACATGGAGTTTTTTCCATAATTCCATGAAGCAGTGCATCTGCCAAGTTGGGGAAGAAGGGTTCTCTCTTTCTTCCTGCTTTTTTAATGTACTGATTGGAATACTATGACACAAAAGTGTTCAGAAGAGGAGGAAGCTGCTTGGATTGCTGAGGTAGGGATGGGGCTGCACAGGGAGAGTCCAGGCATTTGCTACACTTACCTGAGTGGCACTGGCCACTGGGATACTGCAGACTGGAGGCACAGGACATGAAATTGTTAATGTCTGTGAAAGATCAGTACTGGAAATGATGTTTTCACTTGCCTGGGCAGGAGGCTTCCTACCTTGTGTGGAGAGTGGAGGCGGTGTGGCTGGTCATCCCTAGTCCATGGCCATCTCTGTGCTTCTCTTTGCTTGGACTGATCCTTTGGAGAGGCTGTTCACACACTGTAATGTCCGAAAAGTGTTTAATTCTGCATGCCCCCGTTTCCCTCACGTGTCAGGATGTTTCCAGCCCTTTGGGCGGGGCTGCAGACCATACCTTAGCTACACTGTATTTGAGTTTTCCCTGCCAGCCTGGTTTTACAGCCTAACATTCTGATCTGTATTTCTCTTTTCTCTGAAGGACAGACATAACTGCAGCCCACAGGGATTTTTAGAAAAATTTCACCTTCCTCTTGAGCCTTGCTGTTGCACTTTGTGGGGGTTAGAGTCCCCCACGTGTTCTACCCCACGACCCCTCAAATCTGGTTTTGGATTGGCTTTCTTTGCGCTATTGGGGTTGCTCTAGTACCGTCTGCCTGCCTTCAGCTGTATGAGTAAATACCTTCTAACTCTGGCATGAAAACTGATGAAGTGTCCAGGATGGAATGACTAAATGTACCCAGTGTAACTGATTGCTCTAGAGGGAAACTTCAGGTGTGATTACTATCTGACTTAGCCAAAAGGCTGTCAGAGCAGCCCTGTGTCCCCTCTGGATGACATTTTTAGATGCCTGTATTCTTATGTGATTGCTTGTTTTTCTAGGGAGCCCTGAGGGCCAGGAGGTGTACGTTTTTAACCTGACATCACTCACAGAGTCTGAAAATGTCCTGTCAGCCTCAGTGTATTATTATATTGGTGATCTGCTACATGTGAAGTGGAACTGTTCCGAGCCCAGTGGCTGTTCCCATCACCAGCACAGGAAACCTGAAATTCAGATACACCTTTCAGTTTGGACCTTTCCTTCAGCTGGGAGCCCGGCTCGGAGCCTGGGACATTTCCTCATCAATGTCTCCTCTGCTTACCAGGATGTCCTCTCCTGGCAGTGGAAGGACATCACTCGGCTCCTGCACGAGGCAAAGCAAAACAACGAGCTGCTGATCAGCGTTAAAATGGATCTGCCCGGCCATCATCCCTGGGAAAGGGCCTCTTCCTCCCACGAGCCCTACATTCTGATTTACGCCAACGATTCCGCCATCTCCGAGCCTGAGAGCGTCGTGTCCACTCTGCGAGGACACCGTCATCCTCTGGCCAGGGCCCTTCCCAAGCCACAAGGCCACAGGAGGAGGAGACGCTCTGCGAACGTCCTGTTGCCGCTGCAGAACAACGAGCTCCCAGGAGCCCAGTACCAGTACGGGGAGGAGCAGAGCTGGGAGGGCACAAGGCCCTACAAGACCTTCCAGCCACAGCTGGCAGACAGGGCCAGGAGCAAGAAGAAGCAGAGGAAGAGCCATCTGCAGAAGAGCCAGACTCTGCAGTTTGATGAGCAGACACTGAAGAAGGCGAGGAGGAAGCAGTGGAACGAGCCCAGGAGCTGCGCCCGGCGCTACCTCAAGGTGGATTTTGCAGACATCGGCTGGAGCGAGTGGATTATTTCCCCCAAGTCCTTCGACGCCTATTACTGCTCAGGAGAATGCCAATTCCCAATTCCAAAGGTATGATGCTTTTTCACTGTCTGTTACCATAACCTGGGCATTTTGTTTGCCATGTCCGAGGGAATCCAAAAGCAATGGATACAGGCCCACTCACTGTCAAAATATCCCATGGTTTGTATGAGCTGATTGCATGAGAGTAGCAAGGGAGGCTGATGTGCTCCTAGCCCTGTGACCTGGATTGATGAACTCTGCTCCAAATGTCCAGTGTCATTCTTAGCAACATTCTTAGTAGGTCCTGGAGGCTGCTTAAACCTGGGATTTGAGGCTGGCCTAAAATGAGGGGCATGCACAAGTAACAGCTGCAGGAAACATCAGTAAAGGCAGAGCTCTTGGACTCACTGCAGCCTTTCATTCCAGAGTCTTTGGTCCTGCCACAGAGAAGCCAGAGCAGTTGGTTCCAAAATATATGTGGCATTTCAGTGGCTTAGGGAGCCAAGGGAGTCTCCCTTTGAAAGTGGTGGGTGGAAGAATGGCACACAAGGGGATGGAGCCCAGGCAAAGCAAGCTGCAGAAGATGGGGTCCTCTCCTTGGAGGCATAGAAGACTTGCCTAGCTCCAGCTGCAGGGGCAGGCTTCAAAGCTGGGCATCACAGGATCTGCTGCTACTGAGAGTGTGTTTTCAGAGGGATACCCTGACCCTCAGGCAATAACAGACAACTCTGTGCCTCTGTGTACATCACGTGCCCTTGCTGAGGGTGAGCCCCTAGAGTTAGCAACCTGATGGGTAATGGAGAACAGATGTGCCCCCCACACCTCCAGATGTGCATGTTTTAGCCATGCCCTGGTTCTAGCCAGCTGGTTTGACTGCTGTCCAACCCACCTGTGCTGGGAGCATGACCTGGCATAGAGGTTGTGGGCCATGGAGATGTTCTCCTGTCAGGAATGAGAGCTTGCAGCTGCCTTTTGTGCCCTGCTTGTAACCCAGCTGCAAGGACACCCCGCAGGACAGCAGGTGTTCTGCCTTGTGGCATGTGATCAGCAGGCTCAGGACAGCTGTTGGGCCCCCAGTTATTCTGGGGAGAATGCTGCCCAGCAGCTGAGTAAGGAAATGTGGTTGGGGGCTTCCAGAGCTTTCACTTCCCTTTGAAGACAGAAATGATACAGAAATCTGAGTTGTATGATAATCTAAAACTTGTTTTTAAATCCCTGGCTGCTACTGCTGAGGGGTATAGGTACTCTTGGATTCAAAGCAAACCAACAGAAATGTCTTTGATCAGCTTAGATGGGGACTTAAAACTTCATGTACTAATGTGCTGAGCAAAAGAGATGACAAGCTGGAATTCACAGTTATTCCTGCTCTTTTTGCAGGTCCATATCTAACCCTTAAGACTGACTCTTTTTTCCCAGAACCGAATCATCTCTCATTCCAGCAAAACTGCAAGTTGAACATTTGGCCAAAATGACATGGTTCTGTGTGTTTCTCAGGGACATGTGATGGGTTACACACTAAGCTGTTTTGATTCCCAGATTGTGTGTGTAATACCAACTCTAAAAGCCAAAGCAAAAGTCCCTGGCTAAAAGCTGCATCTTGTGCATTTTTCATGCTCACTTATCTCTTGTACAGATACTTGGATCAGGAAACATTTCAGGGTTCAGAGAAAACCTTTGTGCTTTTCATTTCTCTGCATTGTTTTTTTATTTTTATGAACACCTTAATGGCTTCTGGTTTTGTGACCAAGCAGTCGCCTTACCAGGCAGATTGCCTTTCTCTTCAGAGCAAATCGAAGCTCTGGTGTCCCTTTTTATGAATTTAGGGAACTTTGCCCTTTGAAGTTTCTCCTCTGAGGAAAATGTCACTTTAGTATGAGGCAGAGCTGTCTTGGAGGCTCACTTCCTCAGCAGTGCCACTGGCTGCAGATGTTCCAGCTGAGGAGTCTCAACAGGGCCCTTTGACAAAGCAACGTTAATGTAGAGTAGTGAATCCATGGCAGTGTGGGTGCAGTGACACGTTCTGCCGTGTCTTTCTCTTGCAGGCCATGAAGCCATCCAACCACGCCACCATCCAGAGCATTGTGAGAGCCGTCGGAGTCGTCCCCGGCATCCCCGAGCCTTGCTGTGTTCCTGACAAAATGTCTTCCCTCAGTATCTTATTCTTTGATGAGAACAAGAACGTGGTTCTGAAGGTGTACCCCAACATGACAGTGGAGTCCTGTGCGTGCAGATAACGCCTTGGGAGGCTGTGGGCAATGCCAGGGTGAGGGCTTGCTGTCTGGGGAAGGGGTGGGCAGGAGTCTCATCATACCTGCTTCGTGTTTGCACTGCCATGCATCTCCTTTGGACAAGAAAATGTAAAGAAATCCAATCAGTGAGAGTGGAAGCAGGATGGTTTCCGAACAGCGATTCCAGGGGAAGTGAAGACAAACTTCATTTGTCTATGATTCTGACCAAGAGGCAAGGCTTGGGAATGGCACCTGACTGTACCTGTTGGAAGTGAGAGGGGAAGGAAGGATCTGTAGATTTTTGAGACTGCCCAAAGGACATAATGATCTATTTGTGTACAAGATTTTGGAAGCAGCACAGGCTGGTACTTCCTATCTCTGTTCTAATGGTGACTAACGGCGAGGGGAGGTTAGAAATGTAGTAGTCTTCATTTTAAAGCTAAGTTTCTTGCCATAGGTTTTAGAGTAGTACAAGGCAGCAAAACAAATCTGACATCCTGAAAGCCGTAGGTAAGCCCAGGGCACCGTGCATCTCCTTGCTAGGAGGTTACCCACCTTGTGTGCGAGTTTCTTTCCCCTGACAGTGCTCTGTAATTGAGCCCTTGGGAGCTCAGCAGCCCCGGGCACTGGAGCTCCAAGCAGCCCTGCTGAGGGCATCCCTCTGAATTCTGCTATGGACACTCAGCAGGCCAGGGCTGTGGAAATGCCACCCTCAGTCAGGTGGCTGAATGACTTGTTCACCTCACCTCAAGTTCTAGAACAGTCTTCCAAATAATCTGTGGGCTGCCTGCCTGCAAGGGCGCTGTGGCCAGGCTGTGCAGTGGCCTCTACTCCCAAGTAACAAGTGACAGGACCAGGGGTCACAGCCTCCAGCTGCACCAGGGAAGGGTCAGGCTGGACATTAGGAAGAATTTCTTCATGGAGAGGATGGTCAGGCAGTGGAAGGGGCTGCCCAGCGAGGTGCTGGAGTCACCCTCCATGGAGCTGTTCAGGAAAGGGGCACTCAGTGCTCTGATTCAGCTGGCAAGGTGGTGATTGGGTTCTTCCATCCTCGGGGGCCTCTGAACTCATCAGCAGCAGGGTGTCACTCCTGGGGCAGGGCTGGTCCCAGAGATTGGCACCCTCAGCTGAGGAGAGGCTTGTGAGTTTGCAGGATGGGTTTAGTGGCTCCTTCTTCCTTCTAAAAGCCCAGCATTTTTAAATGTTTTCTGGGGAAAGGTTTATCTGTGTACAGACTGTCAATTTAAAAAAGTGAAAATCACCCCCAAGAAAGAAAAGTTATTTTGTATATGGAATGAAACTTTTACAGATGCTTCTAATTTATTTTGTATCCATGGCCCTCCTAATGTGTCCTCCTTTATCTCAGCACTCTTCAAGCCGTGCAGTTTTCTCTGTCAGTGCAAAGATGAGCTGCCAGGACTGTAGGGGAGCTCCAAAGGACAGGAGCACCCGCAGGGTGAAGGGCATGTTTCACTGCTGATGGATAAGCCTGTCTGCTCTGTATTGTTTTCCTCCAGTCATGTGGACGTTGTGCTCGGAATTCCGGAGAAGCGGAAAATAAAATGGCTTTAAAATGAAAATCCATGTTTTCCTGTGTGGCACTCAGGCGTTTCTAAGAACATTCAGGGCTGCCTGGGAAAGGCTTTCCTGAACCTCTTCAGGCTTCTGGTGCTCAAGGCTGAGGGATTTGTTGTGCAGAAAACATCCAAGGCTGTCTGCCCCGGGTCTGGATGTGCATTTCCACAGTTCGTCAGAGTGGGGAAAGGCCAAGAGGCTGGCGGGAAGGGCTTCCTCCCAGGCCTGGGCAGCCTCAGGACACCTCAAGTTTTGTTTTAATATGTTTGTTCTCTTTTGTTTCCAAGCCCAGGGCTAAGCTGGAGAAAAGGTGGAGAGAGTAGAAAGTGCGACTCCCGTGTTTAGATCCATCCTTGGATTCCAGGCTCTCCTGGTGGGTCTGTGCTGCCTGAGGGAAGGAAACGTTGGCAGTACCTGTTTGTTCACCTGTGCAGCTGGGAGGAGACACTGAGCATGGAATTGCAGGGAAGCTGCACTTGTGTAGTGACTGGAGGAGAAGCATCCTGCCCCATGTGCTGTGGTCATTTCCCCTCTGGATCCTTGTTTCCCTCTATGTCTCTGTGTCCCTCTGTCCTTGTTGTGTATCTGTTTTTTTCTCTGTCTTTCTCCATGCCTCACTCATGTTCCTTTTTATTCTCTGTGGTGCTCCCTGAGACATCGTTCCTCACAGGATCCTTGTGTCCCATTCCCTGTTCCTGTTTTTCTTGCCTTTTTTCTGGCCTTTCTTGCCTTTTTTTCTTGCCCCCAGGTAGGCTGCACGTTTTTACTGATTATTCCTTCCTTCCTTCCTGCCTGCCTGCCTGCCTTCCTGTAGTAGAAACTTTCAGGCTACCTGGGAGTAAAAGAACCCCAAACTATAATGATTTAAAGAAAACTATTTACTCCCTGGGAGCCTGAAATTTTCTACTGTACCAGACATACAGCAGGCAAGAAAAAAGGCAAGAAAAACTGCAAGAAAGGCCGGAAAGAAAGGCAAGAAAAAAGGCAAAAAAAGGGAAGAAGAAAAGCAGGAAAAAAGGCAAGAAGAAAGGCAAGAAAAAAGGGAAGAAAAGCCAGAAAATGCAAGAAAGGGAAGAAAAAAAGGCAAGAAAGGCCAGAAAAAAAGGCAAGAAGCACCCACTGTAGAACCTTGAAAAAGAGTGTGATTCTATTGTTTACATTATAGGAAATATGCCTTTGTGACCCTGCGGTGGTTCTGACGCTGGTGGATGGACATACTGGGGCAGTGACAGTATGATCTGTGTAGCATATTGGCATCAGTTTGATTTAATCAGTGAGAGTGCAGGGAGTCCTATAGATTGCTTCATGTTGAAACAAACAGGGTAAGTTTTCATCAGTTGAAACTTTTTTGCAGACCCTCACTGAGCATAATTTGTTGCAGACTCAGTGCATGCTGTGCTGACCTCCTAGGAGTGTAAGGAGCTCATGTGTGCTACTTATTGCTTTAGGACACTCTGAGGTATTTATTCCTTTTGGGATACATGATGATAATTCCCAAGACAGGTAGTTATAAGATATGACATTGGGAAAAAGCCTGTGTTGTTGTCAAAAGTTAATTTTTCCTTCTTTCTTAGCCAGTAGTTAGCTTTTTGCTTTATTTTTGTGGTATCAGTATTTTATTGTTTAAAAAATTGCTTCAAAATAACTTCAGTGATTGACCACCAGTACCTTGTTCAGATTTGCCTATTTGCTTGTAGCTAAAACGTTTGCATATTGTTTATCATTCTATTTAAGGAACTGCTGCCCAGTCAACTGGATAATAATAACTGAATAACTATCTGTCTAGGACATAGGGAGAGGATTTAGGTAATGTCTTTGTTTTCAGAAGAAAGTTCCAGTGTAGTTTCTAAATAGACATGTGAACATGTAGCTTTAGACCCAGTTAAAAAATAAAAGGGCTTGAAGGAAGCGCTGTGCTCCTGTCCAGGGCAGTTGGACTCGCTCTGTGCCTTCTTTGGGGGTGAGGAAAAGGGAGTGAAGACTCGGGGCTCTGATGCCATTGGGGGCACCCCAAGGTCCCCAGGAGAGGGAGCCCCACTGCCGTGCAGGAGCATGTGGGTGGCAGGCAAGGAATTTGTCTCTAAATTCATTTGGGGAGAAACCCTCTCTGTCCACTCATTTGTTTACAGGAATGTAGGAAACTGTGACTAGCGATGGGTAGTAGTTTTGAAAATATTGCCATAACGTTTTTATCTAGGAATGAACCAAGCTGTGCCCTGAAACCATAAGAACAGCTGCAGGGGCTGAAGGCAATAGAAAGGGCTCTCTGGTACCTTTTGCCTCCGTTCTCTGCCAGTCCCCAAATCGTGTCACAGTCCCAGAAGAGGTGCTTGTCATCCAGAGTGCCAAAATGAAGACCTGTAAAATCCTAGCTCTGTTTTTTTTTACTTCATATTTATGTCATTACAGAAAGTAAGGAAAGAAGAAATGTGACTGGTTCCCACTATTGCTGTGTGAAGGCTTTTTTAAAGGCTGGTGTGTTTATGTTCTTTTTTTCCACTCCAAGCTTCACTTTTCCCCTCGTTTTTTGAGGTCTGCTGCATTGGGTGTCCCAAGGAGGGTTGGATTTCTCAGCAGGGGCCTTAGGAGTTGGTGCTGATTCTGCTTTTTCTGAAGATGTATCAAAGTGTACTAGAAATGACAGTTTTCTCCACTGGAAAGCTTTCCTCCAATGCCATCAGTGCACGAACATGTTTGAATTGTGGAACCAGACAGACTAAGAAAAGCCAACACCCCAGCAGATTTCTGTTTGCTCTGTTTTTGTGAGAAGCGGGCTGTGTGCTGGACAGGGAGAGGCGCTGCTGGAGAGTGGCATCAGCCCCAGGTGTGAGCTGTGAGGGTGATGGGGGGCTCGGAGCAGCCCCACGTGTGAGCTGTGAGGATGATGAGGGGCTGTCTCCTGCTGGGGGGAGGCTGTTTTAGGGGGAGGGTTTGCCTCAGCTCACTTTTGCATGGAGCTGCTGAGTAGAGGGGTTTATGCGGGCCTCCCGAGGCTGTCTCATGGAAGGACTGTGAGAGCTTCTCCAGGGTCTGGGGGAACACCTGGATTCGCGCTTGGATAGGTGGAGCATTGCTTAAAGGAGGTGCCGAGGGACGAATCTTTGTGCCAGGAAGCAGCAGCCGAACAGGGGAGCCCGTGTGGATTTGTAGTGTGGACTTTTGTCCTTTCCCTTTTCAATTTCATCTTGCCAATCCCTCCCCGGTGCCCCCAGGGAGAAAAAATGGAGCTTATGAGGACAAAAGGAATTAAGGAGAGGGAAGCAGCTACTCTTCTGCTATTGTCTGTGTTTGAACCCCTTCACTTGTGGTTTTAAAGGTGTTGATTGAAGGAAAACTGCCTTTTCCAGGCTGTTAGGGGTATCACAGGTGTGAAAAACGCCCATCACTTGTTTTTAAAATTTTTAAAAGTTTAATAGTACTAAAATGGTTAAAAAGAATAGTAACACAATTAGAGTAATAACAATTTGGACAAATTGAATTAAGACAATATGAGACAATAAAAACAAAGAGTTATGGATGTCCAGGTGCCTTTTTCTGGCATCACAAGCCCGAAAAAGGACACCCCTGAACAGAGGATTAACCCCCAAGAACAACAGCCCGTTGCATATTCATACACCTCACACATGATGCACAAATTCCATTCAAACACAGGATTCTGTCTGTTCATTGTCAACTTCTTCCTTCTAATCCTAACACAGCACCTTCAAGGTGGGAAGAAGTTCGTTTCTTCTGATAAGAAGGCAATCAGTTATTTTCCCTGAAAGATTTAGGTGTCCTGTGGCTGCTATCTGGTGGAGTGCCTCATTCCTTTCTTTAAAAAAAAACCCCACTAACATAGTTCTTATTTTAACAATTTTTATGACCTAAAACTATATTTAACACAGTACTTAAGAGAATTAATACAGCATTTCTTTCTAACACAACACATATAACATTCATTTTAATATTTGCGAAAAGCCAATCATATAATACATGCATTTTTCACAACGGGGTGACAGGGAATCCCTGCATTCTATTTTAAGGGGAATGGGAAAAGTATTGTCATATTATGGGTTTGATTTGAAGGTAGCTACCCCATTTTCATCATCCTAAGGTTTGAACTGAGGGGGCAGCCCTGGTGTCCCTCCTTTTAAAGGGTTTGAATTGAGGTCAAAATCCCCCTTTCCCCATCATTTGAAGGCTTTCATTTGAGGAACACCCCTTCTTTTCTGCTTTTCTAGGGGATGAAATTGAAGGGGAGAACACATTTATTTGCCCTTGTTGAAGTGAGGTGTGCCCCGCCTGCAGCGTCAGTTTTGGGGTTCAATTGCAGGAGCCTGCAGCTCTGGCAGCGCTTGCAGGGCTGCAGTTGGGCTGTGCCGCTGCATTTGAGGGCTGTCGGGATCATCAGTTTGTCAGAGCGACCCCGAGAAAAGTTCAAAAGTCTCTTTTCCCAGCCCGGCGCTTAAACAAGGAGTCAGGGCTCTTCATTTCTTGGTCTCAAGGTTGTTTATTTTATCTTATCTATTAAAAATCTCCTGCCCTGCCGAGGTCAGCTCAGCAAGACAGTCCGAGGCACTCTGCCTGCTCACAGGGCAGTGTTATGTCTTTATACTACAAACTACAGGTACAATGTTTACAATCACTTCCCAATACCCATCACCTATGTTAGACAGGGAGCTTCTACTCTAAACCAATCTCTAAGTGCCAACATCACAGCAGAAGATGGAGGCCAAGAAGGAGAAAGGCTGGACACACCCAGTTCCCTCCATCTTGCCTCCTGAACCCCTGTACCAAAAACCCTAAAATATACTTTTCCACCCTGTGATAACTTCACTGATATTCTACTTAAGCTGTTGTGGCTTGCTGATCTTCATACAAGGTTGGTAATTTGCTCCACGGGTCGTAATCAACACCACAGGCATTTTGGGCTCTGTGCCAGGGTCTCTGAGACCCCTGGCAGGGGTCTGGGCTGCTCAGGACAGCCAGAGGGATGTCCTGGGTCCT